TATGCCTGGACCGTTCCAGACGACTTTGAGTCTATTAAGCGACTGAACCTTGTATCCGTGAGTCTTGTAAGCGGCGTTCACTATAATTGCTATTTTACGTACTATATAAAAAAGTTATAATATTGTATTATTTTTTATTATAAGCATTATTTTATATAATAAAAATAAAATAACTTATTAATTTCTTTTAATTTTTCAAACATAGTTTTTAAATAGCTCTAGGTATATGTACAAAACTGAAGTACTTATAAGAAATTCATTTGAGTATGAAAATAAAAATTTATAATTCTTAATTATCGTAGGGGTGACTACGTTGGAAACAGCGTCTATTAAAACAACTATTTTCTGTAATATTGATGACCACTTTTATTACACAAAAGACCGAAAAAGATTATCAATAGGTCCTTTTTATAGATTTTGATTTTCATGATTTTCACTACTTTGAAATTTATATGCGGTGACAGTAGGAAACATTTGAAATCGCAAGAAGAACTTATAAATTTATAAGTATTTTTTCTTATATTTATTCAAAACATTTATTTTATAACTAACTTCGAATTTGCATATAATTATGATATAAACATCTTAAATATAATTTAATGATTTTATACTTAAAATTAGCTTCGCATCAAATAATTTAAATTTTAAATCCTCCAAATAATTTATCCTAAATTTTAACTATTAATTAACACATTAATAAGAGACTTTAACGCACAGAATTACATAACTTTATTTATATAATTCACAATGTATTTTATGATTTTATTGAAAATTAGTTTTATTTAAAATTTTATAAAGATATAGTAGTAATAAATAATCATAGGAAAAGTAATCAACAAATACCTAAAGCAGTTACTTTAGTTTTAACAAAGTTAATCGTTTTAACATATTTTTGCAACCGAGAGCACCATTTTAGCATATATTACAAAAAAATAACATATCAATGTAAATATGATTGTGTAAAAATGCCATAGAATAAATAAATGTGATAAACGTAAATGTCGTGTCGGATTTGGTATCTAATCTGAGTATTTTTCATAACTGACATCCACTGTTAAATAAAAATAATCGTTAAGATTTCGCAAAACTAAACATTATTTTAAAAATCCAGTATCACCATTTAAGAACACCATTCAATGATATCCAGTCATCTAAAACTACATTCCGTCGTAAAAATCTGTTGCTGAAAGACTATAGGTTGGTATAATATAATTAGTTAATAATAAATATTTTCCTGGTCTTTGTAACACAGTTTTTTTTTTTTTTTTTTTATCAACAGACACTCTTTAGTAAAACAAGTTAGATGTTTAGCATTTTTGCTGGTTTTTATAAATCCTCCAATGTCACATTTATACCAAAAACATTATGAATCTACTTAGCTTAGATGGGTAGGCACTGGAAAATCGTTAAGAGATCATTTAAATTAAAAATGATTCTATGAGCTTACTTTAGAAATTCATAAAACGTGATTATATATATATATATATATATAATTAAGAAGTAATAGTAATGCTACACTAAAATATAGTTGAGCTATAATGAACGCATAATGACGGTAATTTTATTACATTTCTGTCTGATATAGTGAGGAAATATTGTTGGTTAGTTTGAAAAACTTTAGTCACGATTTGAAAAAACCAGTTCGCAAATGCACAATTATATTTCAATTACAGTGTTTTAATATTATACTGACAAACACTTAAACCATTAATAATAGATAACCAGTACAGTATTACGAATTCATAACATCAGTATCTAATAATAATAAAAATTACAGTTTAAATTTTAGCATATGTGCATATTATTTAAAATTAAATATTTCTATCAATAGCCTTAAATCAATAATTATATTTTAGAACTGTTGTTGCAATATTATATAATTTATAATAATAATAATAATATCTGTGTAAAAGAAACAGATAAACATTTAAAATAAAACAGACCATATTTTAAAATATTAATAAACTTGTAGTCTTAGTATTATTTATAATCATCGCAACGATAAAATTTGATTCGTATTAAAAAGTTTTCAGAAATATTTATGGAAGTAGAAAAATAAGAAATAATGGTAAATACATTTAACTTAAATTTGTATTTTTTATTTGTAATATTCTCAACAAAGGTTTTTATTCTTTTATTTGTAATATTCTCAACAAAGGTTTTTATTCTATAAATTGTAATTTTATAACCAGGGCTATAAACTTAAACTATTAACTGAAAACTATAAAAAAAATTGTTATAAGCGCTATAATATGATTTAAAAAATATTCAAATGAGCGCTTAAATATAAAATAAAAATACTAAAATATGTGAAAAAAATATAAAATATATAACATAAATATAATATAATATAATATATAACATTATATATAGTAAAATAATAATTTTTAAAAATATTCCTAAAAAACTCAATACAACGTTTCATTTGCGTTAATATTAGTTAGTTCGATTAATTTCAAATATTTTCAAGTAAAAATAATTATGGTTAAAATGTATAACAAAAATAAGATTTCATTATAAACCAAAACTCAAGTAAATATTAACGAAAATAATACTAATGGTAATTATTTCGGACGTAAAATTAATATTAAATTAGCATGATTATAAATTATGATAAAAGATAAAAATTGGTATCTAGGGCTATGTGTTAGTCGCTTGGCGAACACAATATTTGATAGTGTCGCATTCACCCTAAATATGGCGCTTACCTTTAAAACAGTTCTATTAGTCAATATCACTTTTACCGATAAACAAAAATTAAATATCCCGTTACAAATGGAATGCTTCGAACGTCGGTTTGCCTTGTAGTGTAAACCATGTTGCTCAGTGCCGAAATGTCGCTAATTAAGCTAATTTTTCATTTTACTAGTCGGTATAGCGGTGGTGGTGCGCTTCAAGACGGCAACGATGTTGTTAAGGACATTAAATTTTGATTAACGGACGCGGACCGCACGACGAAAACGCAACCGACGTGAACCGCGGTGGATTTGCGCAAAGGTCATTTTATAGGTATACCGTTAAGTACGGCCCTCCGTATTGTGCTCGCGAAATATAATGCGAACAAGCACAGCAGGGAATCATTGTAGAACCAATAAATAGCAGCAGCAGCTGCAGCGGTAACACGAAAATACATCCGTGAAATAAAAACGTGATCGTGCGCTGCTGCTGCTGCTGCTGCTGCTGCTGCTGCTCTCGGTCGGGTTAACGGACCAGAGTTGGCGAAACGTTATTCCTCCACCACGGGCAGCGTATCCGGTTCGTCGTGCGGAGATACCGTCTGCACCGGAATACCGGTTAGTACCCGGTAGAGTACCCGTCCGTTTTTGCCTTGAACGGGTTAAGGCTCGTTTCACACCGGTGCGACGCGACGCGACGTCGAAAATCGTCTGTCGGACGTATGCAATTCACATACGACCGACGGACACGCACAATCGAACGATTCGAAAATGCGAACAGTACGATTGCGATGTCCAAGAAAACTTATGTCACCGAATCGTCTCCTTTATTATTCCGCGTTATGCGCGAACATAGACACGTAAAGCGAATGAAAAAATAAATTAGTAAATAAAGGATAAACGTTGCGGTTTAAACGTAAACGAAGTGTACCGGCACCGCGTAATATTACCGAATATATATTTTACTCGTAGTTCATATTCTAGTTGCATAGAAAAAATGTTTGATTCAGCAAACAAAACGGTTCAACAGAATTCCAACGAGAAACGGCAATGGGACGTTTGTCCCATTTGTCCTATTCACATTGAACCGGTGCAGTCGCCGTCGGACCGACAAAATATTCCGCTCGAAAACGATCGGTCGGTCAGCGGTGCTGGTGCGGTGTCGGTCGTGTCAGTGCGAATATCGACGTAGGAATACGTGTTACGATATTTGTTCGTGTCGTGTCGTGCCACGCTTAGTCGTACCGGTAGGAATCGGGTTTTACACCGCGTGCACGTTACATCAGTTTACCGTCTAATGATGGTCCGACTGAACATAAAAAATTACAATGACGCATATCAATATTTTACTGGTGCCGAAACCTGTCCTGAACGAGAGATTAAATAATTTAGTCATGCGGAACCGTTAAGAAATACTTTTTACTCGTACGCTCATCTACTGTGATATAAAAAAAAAAAAAAATTGTACGTACAAAACCTAACCGGTACCTTACGATTATTATCGTTCGGCTTCCTCAATGTTTTCGTTAGCTCAATATTTTTTTTAGTCACCGTTAATCATCGCGGTTTGCTTTCGGCTGATGAAAAACGAAAATCCAAAATAAAATATTTAATCTTATTTTATTTTCTATTCGAAAACATGACAAGTCCAATGACATATTTATAGAAACATATGTAACAACAAATAGATGCAGTTGCATAGATATAATTACTTATAACACGATTATTTCAGAACTGAGTGTGATAATAAGTAATTAAAACTGAAATAAAGGATAGTTAATTGTTATTTGTAAGAAGCGAATCATAACGAAAACAATGTCTAACATACCCATTTATGTGAGACTTATAGAAACTATTTTTGATTAACACAGTATATATCTATAACAAAATAATAATTTTATTATTTAAATTTTCATGATTAAAAATTTTAAATATTCATGTCTAAATCGTATTTATTTTTTTAACTTATCATATAAATATATTTTCATAATGTGTTCAGAGATTTTTTCAGTAATGACTGATAATAAAGTTAATTATTTTAAATATAGTACCTTGGTGTTTTTTTTTTTTTTTTTTTTAATATACATTTTCAAATTAAATAATTTTATTCAAGGTTGAACTTATACTTTAAGTTTTCACATTAATAAAATAATGAAATCTAAATCTTGAATCTTATCTAAAATTACGTGTTTACACGATAGTACTGATTACTTAGTTGTCGTATACATAATTAAATAAACACACAAGACAAAACTAGTATTTATGGTAACCTAATAAAAAATTTAAAATTTAAAATTTGTTTCAGATAGCTGAAATTCACTAAGGATGCAGGACGTTAATCTCGACGACGGAAATTCAAACATAAATAAAGTGAATTTATCAGTTAAGATAACTAATGCTTTTAAAGCATACAATCCGACCACAGTAATATTAAATGGGTTCAATATGAACGTGGAGGAAGGGACAATGTAATTACTACTTGCTTTTATTTACGTTTTTTTTATTACCTACGTGTAAAACTATTTACTATTTTATATTTTTGATCGTGGTGGAAAATGTAATTTTATCCTTGTGTACAATAGTTATGGCTTGTTGGGACCAAGTGGATGTGGCAAAACTACGTTACTATCTTGTATTGTTGGCCGAGCTAGATTAGACGCCGGACACATTCAACTCTCTGTGAAACATAAAAAAGAGATTGGTTACATGCCTCAGGTAATTGATAGCAACACTTAATCAGAATCATAATAATATTAGTATGCGAATAACGCATCTAAACATAGAGTATGATAACAGATTACATATGATGTACGGGCAGTTGGTACACATTATAAGCCGAAGTCACAACTCACTACCTATTGTATAGAATTAAAATCATTCAGATTGACGTCATCCAGGCGAATTATAACCAAAACTTGTTCTTTTAACCAACATAAATATAAAAACCAACTCGTTCTCAGATTAACTTTATATTGTTTTTTACTTTTTTATTTTATCAAAACGCTATAATTTTATAAACTTATTATGAGTATTATTATTAGTATAGGTGTAAGTTAAATTAAATAACAGAGTTAAAAATTAGCTTAGCGGGTACAATTCAAAAATATACATTATTCAATATATGAACAAATAAAATTCGATTTTATTCAGTGATGTATTGCTAAAATAAATCATGGATATACGTCTTATTTCATGTAGTAACTATCATATGAAAGGAACCAAAAAAACTCACTCATGAACTATACATTCTTAATTATGACTGATAACAAAAACTTGTTATTAAATGATAATAAATTTGAATTTTTCATTAAAAAAAAAAGAAAAAAATAATAATAATATATTCGATACCGAATCACGTCATAAATATGACCGCAAGTTATGTTAGTCAAGGTATTATGTAGTTATTTGTCTAATTACAAGATATACGCTAATACGGACGTATACCCGCGTATCATCAATTTCTCATAAACTATACGCCATGGATAAAAATAGCGTATTGGGTATACGCCGTATACCCCCGTATACTCTCCCATACCACACTGATTATAATTGTATAATATTTCATGCCTTTCTATATAATATGTCTTAAAATTTGATTTGGAAAGGTTTTAAAACAATTTTATTAAGTAAAATATAACTCATAATATTATTATCTTTTTTAATAAAATAATGCAAAAAAATTCAAATTTTTTAATTTGCTGAATACTTAAATAATTATTGAGCTATAGTATTAGTTTTAGAAAACTCTAGTAAAAACTATTCTGATTAAATAATAATATAACTATTATTCTTTTTTTTTTAATTTAGGAATTAGCACTATACAACGAATTTAACATACTAGAAACGTTGCACTATTTTGGCTCATTGTACGAGATGTCTTTTGAAGATATCAAAAATAAAGGAGAGAAACTTATTAGTATAATGGAATTGCCCCCAGCTAAAACTCAATTTGGTTTGATGAGGTAAATTTAAGATTAGAAAAAATTATTTACTTTTAATTTTTCATTAATTTTGAAATGAAAAATAACTTACAGTGGTGGACAACAAAGAAGGTTTTCGCTATGTACTGCTCTTCTGCACGATCCCAACTTATTAATATTAGATGAACCAACTGTTGGACTTGATCCCATTATTAGTGCTAGGTAAGATATAAACTTGGCTAATCTGTATGAATTATTAATACATTTAAAATAAATAAAATAATTTACAAGTGGAAAAATGTGTGAATATTTTAATAATTTACTACTTACATATTATTTATATTCTATAAGCGAATGTAATAATTATTAAAATATTATAATATTAATAAATATTTATTTTTTTTTGTCTATTATCTAATCATAAACTTTAAATTAATAATTTATATTCTACACTTCATAAGTGAATTTGTATTATTTTCAGTATATGGGAATATTTAAAAGATTTGTCGAATTGTGGAAAAACAATAATTATTACAACGCATTATATTGAAGAAGCAAGACTTTCAAATAAAGTAATTTTATATTTAAATGCTTTTGTAATTTTCTTACATCAATGATCAATTGAAAATTTCAAAAAATATTTACGATTTTAATTCAGATAGGTTTAATGAGAAAAGGAATTTTACTATCTGAAGCTAGCCCCCTAGAAATCATGGCATCTTGTAATGCAGATACACTTGAAAGTGCGTTTTTAATACTCAGTCAAATGCAATCTAATGCAGTAAAGACGGTAATAAGGAATTAGTAATAGATCATTAATTTCCGTCTCATCGAATATATACTTATGTTTTAAAATTATTCTTTAGGAAGAAATTAAAACAATGTCTACACAACCAGGAACAACATCGTTAAAAAATACGTCGTTTTTTTCATTTAAACGTTTTAAAGCTCAGCTATTGAAAAATTGGTACTGGAGTATCAGAAATTGGCCGTAAGTACCTATTATATTATTATAAATATTATATACACTCATTATAAACACTTTTCAATTGATCATCTCAGTTCCCACACTGATAAAGTAAATACATGAGTAATATGCTCGAAGAAAATCAATATTATATTGCAGTTAGCTATTAATTTCCTATAATGTAGCAAAACCATAATTTTTTTTTTTTTGATTCTGAGTAAAACGATACATGTTTTTTTTAAACAATAATAACTTTTATAGTAATTTTTTTTTTTAACTTAAGTCACTTAATTTTAACTAAATTATAGTTGAACATATTTATACTTCCTTGTTACCTCCAGAATCATCAACATCTTCAGCATCGGTATCATTAGAACATTGACCTATTGAAACAACTCATAAATTCAGCACATTTTGCTAATTTAAACAAATTATAAATTATTTTATTACTCTATTATGCCTACCTAATTATATATTTTATTGAATAATATATAATAAAAAAAAACACTTGTCAAAACAAAGATTATGTTGAAACAGTAAAATAGTTTAAAAAAAAAAAATAATAATATTTTCTTCTACCATATAACTTATCAATTTTACTTAACCAATAACTTTAATTTTTTTAAATAAAATTATAAATTTGAAAGAAGTACCAAATCAATATTAGAATTATAATCAGTGAGATCCGTGACAGATATTATGCAGCAAAGTAGATAATCCATCGTTAGTCGGCGAGCTTTGTTCAAGCTACATTACTGATAACTAATACTCAAATGACCAATTGGATAACCATCCACTAATTAACGATGTTTGAGACATGATCCTTTACCCAACATATAATTGAGTGTTCCAAAATAAAAAAATTTTCAAGATATAAATAATTCAGATGTTTAAATTACTTGATAAACAAATAATTCCTAACATATTGTACATGTTTATTTTCAGAATAATCATGTTCATTTATTTTTTGCCGCTTATAGTCATTGTAACGTTTAATTTAACCATTGGGCAAATGCCAAAACCTATTCATTTAGGAATAATCAACAGAGAAAACTCTACACATTGTCCACATCGATCATTTGATTTATGTGATAATCAAATTCCTCTAAGTTGCAAGTACATAAATGAGATGGAAAAACATATATCTTTGGTAATTAATACATTATATTAAAATACAAACAACCTAAACTGATAATAAATTATTCTTTGATAAATTACTAACACTAAGTGTATAGCACAATAATTGCAACATTATTCCTACTCTGATAATATTTTTACGAGATTTAAATAAATATTAAATACATTTTATATTGACAGAAACACTATGATGAAATACAAATAGCAAAAGAAGATACAATGGATGGTTCTATTTGGGGTTATCTAAAATTTGAAAACAATTACACCGATATGACCCAACTAAGGTACGAGAATCCGAGTGCTATGACTTCAGAAGATTTGAATGAATCTGTGGTGAAAGCATCATTGGACATGTCGAGTAATTTATTGAGTTTTTATTAAATCAATGAAATATATTTTTTTACAATAACTGCGTCTTTTGTTTCAGACTATGTGGTCAGCAAATTAATTCAAGGAAGAATAATTCAAAGTTATAAAGATCTCAGTAGTGCTTTTAAAAGATGTAATACAACTACAGTGACAACAGTGAATTCAATTCCTTTAAAGGTTTAACAATTTGTGTAGCTAAATATTTAAAATTTAATACTTAGAATCAATCGTATTTATTGTTCTATATTATTAGTATTATAATATTAAACAATTGTATCAAAAATATATATTATTTAGATGATGGAACCTGTACACGGGACATTTGAAGTTAATGTAGCTAATTATGGAGCTGCTGCAGTAATATCAATGTATGTACATTTATATTATTATTTATTACTCATAATTCATTAACCATGGGAACATATAGTTGATATATTACTGGGTTAACTGATCGAAGACGGAAATAAAAGTATTATCTATTCTTGATACTGAATTTATTTAAATATCTTATTAATAATTAATGAACTATAAAATATAGAAATTCAATATTATTTTTAATTCGTAAAATATAGCATATCTAAAAAATATATTTTATTATATTTATAGGTATTATATAAATAGACAAGTAGCTATTATAACATAATAATATAATATACCTAATACTTAATATTGTTGATATTTTTTATTGTCTTTATTGATTAAAAATATTTATTCAGCCATATAGGTATTCGACTTATTATTACTAATACGTATTAATGGTATTGAGATATCGAATAAAATGGTCTAACATAATCACTTGTTGCATCTTTTTTTCATTTTATACCAGCAACCATGTATTACATGTAACCTTCGAATGGTATTTATAAAATAGAAAGTTTTAAAGGATATATAACACATTTCACAACCACAAAAATAGTATATAAACCAATAAATTATAACGATTTGAAAGAATTATAACGAATTACAGCATATTTGCCATCATTTTTCTAAATCAATGGAATTTCCATGTTTTGTATACATGGCATAAGCTTTTTAGTATATCAACATTAACTGTTTCCTATTTTATGTTTTAGAGTGGAATTGTATCTGACGTTTATGTTTACAGCATTATCTATCAATATGGAAAAAAATAGCGGTTTGATTGAAAGGAGTCTTGTATCAGGTAATTAAATATTAAAACCAATTCAATTAAATATTTTCATGATATTTTCATTACGTAATCAATTGAATTTATGTTCAAATAGGACTCACTGTTTTTGAAGTTATAATTTCGCAGTTGGTAGTACAAATGATAATGTTAGTGGTTCAAGCAACTACCACATTTATATTTCAATTTGCCATATTTAAACATTCTTTTTTAAGTTTTTGGATTTGGCCATTTTCATTAGCAATCTTACAAGGCCTGTGCGGTTCATTTATTGGTTAGTAAATTCTCTTTGACTATATCATGGAAGGATGAATTAAATTATTAAAGTATTTAAATAATACATATGTTATTTTCGGCAATTGTAATCTGAGCCCAGTGCACAGGTAAAGACAAAATCGTATATATAAAACTACGCCCGAGTTATTATCAAATGAAAAAAGGTGACAAACAAATTGCACCCGAGTTTTTATCTAGTGTAATAAGGTTACATGTAAACTGCACCCAGGTAAAATTTAAAAAATAACTATATTTTTACAAAACTAAACAAAATTATAAAATTACAATTTTTAATTTATAATTAATTAGTTACAGTCATTTAATATGATTGTTAATTGAATAATATTAAAAATTAAAAAATTTATATAATTTTAAAAAATATAATACTTAGGATATATAATAACATATTTTTGATACATATTCATAAATTGGAGTTTAACCTCTATTATATTTATTAATTCAATTTTGTAAAGTCTTAATAAGTTTAAAGTTTTATATATTTTACAAACGGAATACAGCTTAAGTTATACCTAATTAACATGAATAAAAAATTGAGGATGACAAATTACATTGTACCTTTTCAACAAATAAAAATTAAGGCGCTGTATTAAAAAAAAAAAGGTCATTTTGTCGAAGTTTACGTATGCCCGTTATTTTTCTTTCTAATTTATCATTAAATTATTAGAGTATTTTATGCTACATTATATCTACTATCATTATCTCTGTTATAGGTCTTGCAACAAGCATTATTTTTGACGACGAAAAAACTACTACTTTCTTTGGAATTTGCATGGTTTTATCACAAGTGTTTTTAAGCGGTAAGTGTTTATACATAAAATTCTGTATTATAATGAAAATTTATATTTAATTATTAATTTTATTAAGGTATCATGTGGCCAATAGAAGGCATGAATCCGTATCTGAAAAAAGTTACTATGTATTTACCATTGACCAAGTCTATTGAAGCAATTAGATCGTTAAATGCGAGAAATTGGGAAATATCTCATCCAGTAGTTTGGCAAGGATTTATATCGATATTAACTTGGATAGTTGTTGCAATTTTAATTACAATGTTAAGTCTCAGATTGAAGCACGGTATAAAAGCAAAAAGATGAATACTACTTGTCTAGTATTTTAAAATGTCAACTCTTTTACTATGTAAAAACCTACAAATATATATATAAATATATATATTATAATGTAAGTTTTAATTCCACCATATTTCAGTTATAAACATACACATAAATTACGTTTAAAGGTCTATTTACACACATCAGTAACTGATTCGGGATTCCCGAATGAATTAATACAGAGCCTATATGGTTGTTAAATAATAAAACATTAAATAAAAATTAAAAATTATTAAATTAGTGACATACAAAAATTAATATATAAATAAATAAATAGTTTTTTTTGCAAAAATAAATGCTTAACCAGGATTAGTACTAAATTTGAAAATTACGACTGGTTTCAAATAAAAATTTATCGTCAGGTATATACATAAATCAATAAAACCACGACTATAGTGGACAATATAAGAAAAAGTAGACTGAGATAGTTTAGTCATGTTATGAGACGAGAGGACACAAATGGTGTAAGAGTTGTTATGAAAATGAACGTTGAAGAGGAAGAATAAGAGAAGAGTAAGTAAAGAAATGGTTGGATACGATCGAGAATGAAATCAGGGTCGATGGTGTGTGCGAAGGAAATGTAGAAAATTAAGATGAGTGGAGGCTTAGGACTAAGGTGGCCGATCCCAAATAGTTGGGAGAAAGGTGAAGGAAAACAAGAAAATATATACAGTAAACTCGCGATATGACAAATTTCAAGGGATCGAGCAAATAGTACATTATATCGGAAGTTTGTTACATCGAAATTCATTATATAAAAAGCATAAATCAACAAAATTTGTTTAAACGATATTTAAAAGAAAATTTAGAGTTTATTAGATTTTTATAATTACATACTTACCTACAATATTAGATAATTATTAAATGTTTTATTTGATACATTCATACATTTTTGTTTATTACATACATACTTCTTTTTTTTTTTTTTAAAAAAATCGGTTATTTTTTTTTTTTTTTGTGAATCCACTTGCGCTTACGCAATTAATAGTATTGTCCAAATTTAGAATATTACAAAATACACTGTCGTCAATATCATGTCTTAGTAAAAAATTTAAGACGGCTCAGCGACCTAATTTTGCTACATTCAGACTTACGCAGGTTCTTTGTCATCAGTTTTATTCAAAATCTCATCATCATTGAGAACTCCACAGATATCCAAATATTTGTCGATAGCAACAAATTTATATTTATATTTAATACGAATTACATTTAACAGACGTGTATCATATAAACAATACATGAACATTATCTTATCGCATAATAATAGCCGAAACAAACTCGTAAAACATGGAGTATCAATCTCCAAAATTGTAAAAATTCGTTACATTGCGTGAATTTAGGCCAAAAAATCTTCCCTATATCGAGGGTACCAAAATACATTTAATTTTTGGTTATATCACGAGATTTTCAAGGGTCCGACAGTTTTATACGTTTCATCGAGGTTTTCGTTGTATCGAAATTCGTTATACCGCGAGTTGATTGTATATACATTCGTCCGATGTGTGACCGTTCAATGACACACGCTCAAAGATAAATAGAGGTAACATATAAAATGGAAAAATACCACCCACACACCAAATCACTTCCAAAAAGAAACACGCATAACTTTTATAATATAATATATTTAACTATAAGTATAATATTAATAACATATTATATAAGATATTCAACTTTTTTATTTAATTTTCAATTTAATCAACATAATATTAAAGTATTGAATATTAATATAAAATTAATAAGTTAATAAGAAAATTAATAGGTTCTCGAATAAATATTTAATATAATTATACAAATTAGAAAATTTTCCTTCTATTGGCCTATTCAAAATTTATGAATCTACAATCGTTTTTTAACTCTTTAATTTTTGTTCTTCATCATCCAAAATCAGATTAACCGTTAATAATTCGTTTTTTGAAAACACAGTCATTTTGGCTACAATCTGTAGACCTAATAAATTATGAATGAAACACTAGCCAAATGCGAATAGAAATTACGGTTAGGGAAATTTTGGAACGGTCACAGCACTGACACGTCACTGCTGTGTGTAAATAGATCTTACTCTGTAATTTGGTCAAATTTTAACTGACTTATTAAATAATTCTAGAAAATTGCTAAATACTATAATGTGAGTTATGAAAATTCAGAAAACGAAAGAGTCTCAGACCCATAGCAATAATCAATGAATCGGCAATAACAACTTTATAGCGCTGAAAGCAAAACTTAACTGTTGTAGTAACAACAAATGAAATCAATGGTAATAGTTTCACTTTTAATTTTGACGAATATACCAGGGAATTTGGACATGATGCATACTTTCTACTGATAAAATAACAATATTTGGAAAAATATTACGTGAAAAGTCAGCTAAACTCGTATTAAAAGTCAAAAACCAAATTACAAACTAAACGTTTTACAAGCAACTCCTGAACCTGGATGAATAATGATAAATAATACAAAATTTATTCGTTTATTTCAAACTAAATTTTAAATATCCACGGATAATTAACAAGGCACCTAGTCAGTGCGAATTATTTATTTATTTGTTTGTGTATAAAACTGTGATTTACACATTATTAAATAAGTCATTAGATATTTATTATAATATTTTTTCTAGTAATTAAATTAAATATACTTTTAGTTTAATTGATATAACATTTTATTTCTATATTAAATATAACTTATATCGATAAAAACATGACTATTAAATGTACCTACTTAATTGTGATAATTTTTATTTTCATCATCATCAGCTTCTAAAAACCAAGCATTGTTAACTTCAGTGTTAGTAATTGCATTTAAATATACTTGTTTATGATGTACAATGTACATGTATGTATAGCTAATTATGAAAAATAAATTAAAACAATTTTCATCTTTTTGTTTTATCTAGATACATATTTATTATTTTATCTTTATCTAGATAAAATTTAAGTTATTTTTGCTCAATACTCCTCGTGGACCAAATAAAAAAAAAAAAAAAAAAAATAGGAAAAAGATACAAAAATATAGAAATTCTCAAAAATACTTTTTTATTTACTATTGGTTAAGTTTGTAACTTTGGTCTGAGGGTTGGTTTAGGTTTATTTATATTTATTAAAATTACATGGCCTGAATTGAATGTGTATTTTATAATCTGTGATATTATCACTCAATCTATTTTATATTTTTTTGTTGTTGTATTCTGCTGTAATACAAATATTTTATGCAAATAAATATATTAATTAAATTTAAATTGACTTTTAGTAATATGGACCATAGAGCATATCAACTCTCTATTTCAAAACCAGACTTACTTAAACAAATAAATAAATCACAAAAAAATTTAAAAGAAGAAAATGTTACAAAAGTTTTGGTTGTTTTTTTTTAATAATAATAAAAACAAACTTGCTTTTGATAATATTCCTTAGTAACATAATGTTTACAATAGGTTTCTTAGAATTTATAGAAAATTTTATTGAAAAATATTCAAGAGCATTAATACAATTTACTGATGTAAAACTAAGACAATTTAGATTTTTAACCCAATATTATCTAATTCTATGTCTGATTTCAAATTATACGTAAAATTATTTAAATGGTTATCATTACTATATTGTTTGGTTTATTCTATTTGATGCCAATGTCAGTTGGTTTTTGTGCAACCGATGACACAGGATTAAACATATGTCACGATGGTGGCTGCAATTACATTCAGTCTAATAACATTAGTCAAAATTGTGAATGCAGTTTCACTAATAACATAATGCATGGAAAATACTGCGGTGTTTATAATGAACAATGTAAAGGAGAAGTACCATGTGGGTTCAATGGAACGTGTCAGTCTGGCATTGGTCATAAAATTTGCACATGTCGAAATAACAACTTTGGTATTAATTGCCATATAGATATGAATCCAAGTAAGTCCAAAAATTAATTTGGAAATTAAAATTAACATATACAAATTAGTAAGCAAACCAGCGATTAGCTACAGAATTCTTTCAAAATCAAATCCAGTAAATAATATCTAAAATGAATTAAAACATCTCAAAAAATAAAAATAAAAATTGAAGTTATTAGAAAATAGCTATTATTATATAGAATATTTTAATTCAGAACACAAAAATGAATGGTTAACAATAAATTACTCTAGTTCATGTACTCTAATTATTTTTTTTACTTTATTTATATATATATATATATATATATATGTGAAGGTTAGGTGATATTTTATAAAATTACCATGTTGCGTGTAGGGTAAGGGTGCTTCCAACTTTAAATCATGTTGTTCCAACAAAAGTTAGATGAAACGTATTTTGTCCCGTTTTTTCAAGTTCAACCCTTATTAACCACTATTTTTCATTACTGTTATTGCATAACATATTACACTATAACATCTCTAATTTACAATATTATTTTTGAGTTGTTTGATCATTTTAGCATTAATATAGATATAATTATTATTATAAAGTTGTTTTTGATATAAAATATTAAACAAATTTATAAATTTATTTTGTTGTTTGAATTTATAAAAACCATATTAAAAAAGATGCTGTATTTTTTTAGTTAAAATATGGTCGCTCTAAAATACTTAGAATCAACTAACACATGAAATGACGTATAGTTTCCACTGAAATCAATTTCTACCAATAGTCACATAGATATTATTTTAATTACCATTTAACAATTATTTAATACTATTAATTACAACTTCAAAATGTCTATATTTTTTTGTATTGGTTTAGTTAGAATACTGTTACTATGTTAATAAAAAACAGGCAATTATCGTTATTGAATAATATGATTTATTATTTCTTTGTCATTAAGTCATAAAAATAATGCTTCTCTATGTTTTCTGAAAAATAAACCCTTTTATTCATTGTAACTGCCTAATAATATACTGCATGTAGCCGTACAAAAGAAAAACTTAATTTTAATTTTTAAATATTATGTTATATTACTATAGTATCCATATCCAAATATTTTTATGAATGTTCATTAACATAATAACATTAATTATTTTTTAAGATTACCCGTTCGAAGTAATGACTAGACCGTCAATATACTATCGAATAAAATCCAAACAAGGACAAGTATTATATATGTTGATCGTTTCTGATACATTTGGTAACGATACATATGATGTGCATATAAAAGGAGTATTAACAACCTTTCGCTTTAAATTGAATAACCATAGAAATAGAATGAAAGTTTCGGATGCTGTTAAATTATGTTTAAATAAACTAGATTCAGAATCATTTAAAACAAATAATTGCAACGGTCCCGATAATGATGATTGTCAAAATATGTGCAATTTTATCCCAAGAACATACGGTAATAAAATTAAATGCATGCAAAATATCATGAACCTATACCTATAAAACCTTTACCAATACAATTTGAAGGTAATGATAATGAAGTAGATACTGCACTAGTTGGCCCTTATTTTCTTTCAAAATCTCTGCTTGGAAGAAGCGAGGAGTTTTTCGACCGTAAAAATAACGGGATTACAAAACAAATGGGTAGTAAATATGTACTATCAATACAAATTATATCTCAAACCCATAGTTTCATGATTCACCATATATCATTCGTTCAATTCGTAGTTGAAGATGAACTATACAAATGCTTACCGTTTATTGAACATTCGCGTGATTAGTAAGTTGTCGTATGATGAAAACCATTTATAAAACATTATAGCAACTTTTGGGAAAATTTATTTTGTTTTGAATCATTGAAAATCTACTATATAGAATACAATATTTGCACTAGTCTTAAATGATCAATTCTAAAAAAAAAAATCGTGATTCGTTCATTTTATTCATCTTATGAACCTATGCGTGGGACTTTCTTAAAAATCTAAATCTAAATATTTATTATTTGGTAAGATATTATATCATAATTAATTGAAATACGAATATTGAAATTAAATTAAAAAGATAAAAAACTGATAACACATTACGGAAACGATCTTTATTCTAATGCAATGAGAAGATTATTATTTTTAAACATGGTCTATCCTGATGCTCCTTCAAATACTAATTCTTTGGATAATATTATTTTTTCGTTCTAAACAGCCTGTTTACAATGTCGAAAGGCTAATATAAGTAAATTCTCATAAATTAAAATTAAAATTAAATTATTTTGTGGTCAATACTCTTAAAAATAATAAAATAATATTGTATTATTAATTAAATATATGAATAATTAATTATTAAATATTTCTAATAATATCAATACAAATATTTATTAGATTTTAATAAATTACTTGTTTATTTAATAGTTAATTCTATAAAAAATATTATATTTAAAGGTAAGTTTTAAAATACTAACAGTTATTAAATCGTATCAGTTATTACTAGGGCTCGGAAGTTTATGCACTTTGCATTTATTTTTTTGAAACTTTTTAGCAGGGACCGAAACCTTGATGAGTTGTAAGATTCTAGTTCCGGTTCGTTTCCAAAATCAGTTCTTTTAGGTAAGGTTACAGTCACTGCTTTTTAGATAATGCTCTCCTGGCCACAAATGTGTTTAATTAGCATGTGAATCTGAATAACTAATTTTTATTTTGCATTTTTTGGTGTTTATTATTTTTAAGTCATTTTTTGACACTTTTAATAATTTTTTCCTGATTTCACATTATTTCACTTCTTATCGTTTCTTGTCGACCATTATGCCAATAGCTTAAGACTTGTCCCATTTTATTTCGTCGATTATATTCATGGTAGTCGTATTGTAGTGAATATTATTATAACTACATTTGATTATTATTTCCTAATATTCGATTAGTATCCGATTTTATCTCATCGATTACAGTCATCGTGTCATTGTCATGTTATTGTGAATAATACCCTATTATATCTAAATTTTATTATTTTTTTTTTGTAATATTTGTGAAATGACAAAAATTAAAATGTCGGTTAGTGCTCGTCTGTGTGTCCCAGTCACTTCAGTGGACGTGGAAAGAAATTTTTCCAAATGTAAATATTTATAAAAAGATAATCGTCATTCATTTATTTTTGATAACATCAAATACTCTATAATTGAATAATGCAATTATTTTGATTTTTGAGTAATTTGTAAGCTTTGATAAATTTATAAAACAAATATTTGTCATTTATGAATTTCATATTTTAAGGACATTTGTAAGTCTTAATAAATGTATATAAAATGTTGTAGTAAAATAGAGTAAAATATTTAAAATAAATATTTGTAATTTTTTAGGTTATTTTTTAAGAACATTTTTTTATATTTTTATATCATATTGGCATATTTTTTTGGGTCATTTTTAATATTTTTTAGGTCATCAACTTCTGAGCCCTAGTTATTACCCTAAAATACCTAAAATAACAACATTTACTATCATTAGAAATTTTAACTATCGTAATCATATATTATTTTATAAAATTGTAGTGATGCCATTTTAGATGATCATAATATTGTAGAACAAATAAAAAGAAATAGTGAAAAATGGTTTGTTAAAATCGATATAAAACAAGAAAATATATGTACTAAACCTAATTATAATATCGAAGAACAGTCGGAGTGGAAAATATTTGACTACAACAAAATTGTCCAAAACTATATAAGTAATTATTCAAATCTATCAAGGT